GTTACATGAAACACTTATTTCCGGAGTTATTTACAGATATATGGCCTCATGATTTTCAGTGTAACACTTGCATCTTAGCTAAGAGTCATAGAACTATTTATCCCTTAAGTATGAATAAGAGTAGAGTTCCATTTGCTTTGATTCACTCGGATGTGTGGGGGCCATCCCCGGTAACTACAGTGTCTGGATTTCGCTGGTTTGTAATCTTTGTTGACGATTGCACTCGCATGACACGGTTATATCTGCTGAAACATAAAGATGAAGTGTTGATTGTATTTCAATCTTTCCATATGATGGTAAAGACTCAGTTCACATCACAGATCCAGGTACTCAGGTCTGATAATGGCGGGGAATACATGAATCAACGGTTCCAAGATTATTTCAAGATTCATGGGTTACTTCATGAGACTTCATGCCCACAAACTCCACAGCAAAATGGCATTGCTAAGAGGAAGAACTGGCACATACTCGAAACTGCCCACCTTATGTTACTTGGAGCACATGTACCTAACCGACATTGGGCTGATGCTGTTGCTACCGCCGTGCACCTCCTTAACCGAATGCCATCACAGGTCTTATAGTTTAAAACACCATTACAAGTTCTTTCATCACATGTCTCATTGCCATCCATTTTGATGATTCCACCTTGAGTTTTTGGTTGTGTAGCGTTCGTGCATCTACATAAAAATCAACGCACAAAACTGGACCCACAAGTAGCTAGATGCTTATTTTTGGGGTATGCGCTACACCAGAAAGGGTACCGATGCTATGACCCAGTCACCTACCGCACCTATGTTACCATGGATGTTACCTTTCGAGAATCAGAAACATTCTACTCTCCTTCCAAAACCAATTCTTCTCTTCAGGGGGAGAATCAGAGTGAAGAACAGTAATTGGTTTTTTCCCGACTGGCTGAATACGAGTGCTTCAACAGAGACGGTGGTCAATGAAGCAACCGGTAAGACACCTACAAAGACAGCACCGGAGACATCTACAGAGACCCCAACATCTACATCACCTCTCCCAACAGAAGAAATAGAGACCCCAACCTCCCCAGTACCGGAAGGCCCATCTCTTGAGGATATC